TACATTCCGAAGTTCGATGAGAGAGCTGTTTCAGACGCAACTCTTGTCGGCGCTATGCATGAAGCTATGGTGAAGGATTTGCTCAAAGGCACGAAGACTTCTTGCAAATTTCAATGCGACTCTGATTTCGGCTGTGATTCCTGCATTCCCGCAGGCCTAACGGCCGAGCCAGAGAAGCCTGACATTTCCCCCAAGAAGGAAAATGCTGCTGTTGCTAATCTCCCGATGGATTCTTCTCACATTCCATGGATCGCGGATACGGGTGCTGCTCAGGACGTGCTGTCGAGAACGGATGCGCAAATGGGGTGTATTTACGAATCATCTCAACCGCTGAAGTTTTCCACTGCCAATGGGAATATTTTCGGTACCGAGCAGGCCATTGTCAAGATCAAACAGACCGATCGCGTTGTTCGGCCGTATGCTCTTGATAAGACTCCATCCGTGTTGTCCGTGGGTATGAGATGCCTCAAAGACGGATATGACTTCGTTTGGAGAGCGCACAGCAGACCTTATTTCAGACTCCCGGATGGTTCACGCATCAAGCTCGAGGTCAAAGATAATGTGCCATTCATCCCTTCCGAGACCCAAAATGCTGTTCCAGCTTTGTCACAGAGCATTCCTAAGGTTACAACTTTGCCATCAGCTCCCATTGAAATCGAGGATGAGGTTTTAGTCATTGACGAAGAACCAGAAGCTGTGGAAGAAGTGTTTGTGACCAATGAGGATGATGGGGACGAGTTGGGAAACGACGATTTCTTGCTTGAAGATGCAACCAGCCAACCGGAAGGTGAGGTCATTGAAGAGTGCCCTGGCATTTCTCCTGAAGATGCGCTTAAGGTCATCGCTTCCGAGTTTGTGTCTAAGCCCGTTGTGAAGGATGCTCCTCGCGAACCCGGTGAAGCTGCTTTGCGTGATGAGGCAACCTCGCTCCAGCACTTGATGTGTCACACTCCCAAGAACCCCTTTTGCGAAACTTGTAACAGGGCGAAGATGTACAAATATCCATCAAGACAAAAGGGAGGTTCCACACAAGTCGAGGCTAAGAAGTTTGGTGATCACCTTACGGCAGACCATCTTATAACTTCAGATGATCGCGAACTCGGCATTGATCAATCCAGGGCTGCACTTGTCGTTCGAGACGTTGCTACTGATTTCCGTTATGTTTACCCAGCAGCACGGAAAACCTCTCACCAATGCGTAATGGCCTTCAAACACTTTGTCCGCACCGGGGAATCCGTGAACATATTCTACAGTGATCGGGCTCCTGAACTTGTGAAAGCAGCGGATCAATTAGAATGGAAGCATGTTCAAAGTACAAACTACATTTCCAAAACGAATGCCATTGCCGAGAGGAACGTCAGGGCAATTATCGAGGGCACAAGGACCAACCTGAACAAGCTGGTTTGCACCATTCATATTGGCCGCGCGCGGCTAAACACTATTGCATGGCGCACAGCATCACGGATCACCCAGATTATCATTCACCTTGGAAGGTACGTTTTGGTGAAGATTTTCCCGGACCACATTTGCCTTTTGGTTGTCAAGTCAACTTTTGGACTGGCCCGAGGAATCGACCCAACAAGCCTTTGAAGTTTGAGCCTACCTCCAGGGCCGGAATATTTTTGGGGTATCCTATTCATCCTGACTTTCTTTGGCGTCACGAATTTCTTCTTATTCCTTGACGAGATTTGATGGAGAAGGACTATGATCAACCCATTGCTCCGCTGAGGGTGAATCAGATCAAGTGTCCAAATGGCGAATTCTCTTTTCCAATGGTCGAACGGCATTTTTTGCACATGAATGGCGTAATGCCAGGGCTTGAATACGCTCCTGAAACGCTTGATCCAGCTGCATTAGATGCGCCGCTCTTTGAGGAGGATTTGCCGGCAGAAATGCCAGGTCAGCAGGACATCATTGATGATCAGGAACTCGCCGAAAACCTCGGAAAGCTAATCAAAGCTTCCCCCGAAAAGGGTACTGCGCCGGAAGAAATGGTCAAAGTCATCGATTTGAAGACCAGTATGGACACTCTTGTCCCCAAAGATGGAAGTGCTCATTACGATGCGGGGGGCGTGAAAGCACGGAGGTATTCGGGATCAAGCAAACCCGATAGTATTCCACCTTTTCTTTGGAAAACTATGTCAACGAAGCAAAGGAGACTTGCTATCATCAAGGAAGAACGGGAGAAGGCTCGCAAGGCTTTTCCTGATGAGCCAGTCTCCGAGGACCCGGATGCTTCTTCCTCCAAGGCTAGGCCGGCGACTACTGCAGTTAACAATGGATTGGAGGACGAATTTTCAACCATTCCTCTTATGCCTGTTGCACCTTGCATTGGGAACCACTCTGATGAGAAGACTATTGAGGACGCGTTGGATGTTGTGGTTTTGCCTGCACTTTCGGCGAATCCTGACGTTGGGCAACATCGTTGTAAATTTCTTCAAGCTCACCTGCACCCCATTATTCATGCAATGGTTGCTAGACCGGTGGGGCGAAAGGAAATTGATGTGGAGTGGCACAACCTTGAAAGTAAGGGCGCATGGGACTACAAAACTGTGCGGGAGTGGTCGAAGAAGCCAAGGGAAGAAGTGAAAAGGTCCATGTTGGCAAAGTAGTTGAAATCTGTGTTGAAAAAGGGAGTGAACTTCAGAAAGGGAATCCTCTTCGCAAGTTCAAAGGAAGGACTGTTTTTCAGGGGAACAATGTTAAGGATGACAACGCTGAGCAAGCTTTATTCGCGGAACTTGGATCGGCCCCTTCCACCATGGAAGCTGCCAAAGCCATCGATGCCGATGGAGATATGCCTGGAAATTGCACCCAACAATCCGAGGGGCGGCAGGCATACACGCAAGCGTTATACAAGGGAATCAAGACGTGGGTGCGCCTCCCAAAATATCGCTGGCCGAAAGGTTGGGCCTCAAAGTTTAGCGATCGGGTGGTGCAACTTGTTCTTGCTCTCTATGGTCACCCGGATTCGGGGGGTCTGTGGGGGAAGCATTGTGAAGACATTCTTTTATCCCTTGGTTTCCGTCTTGTATACCCTGGAGCCTGGCCTTCAGTTTTCTAGCATTCGAAACTTCGACTCCTGCTCGCAGTGTATGTCGATGACTTCAAGATGTCGGGTCCGGTTAAGAATGTTACAAAAGGGTGGGAACTCATTTCTTCCAAAATTGATATGGATTTCAGCAGTTGGCAGATACCTCGGATGTGAACACATTGTCACGGAGAAGGTTCGTCTTTCACCAGAACACCATCCTTTCGGTCATGTTTTCAACCATGACCTGGAGGATCCATCCGACAAGACTGCTGCTGCTGCTCGCCGAACTCAGGATTACTGGGAACACTATCCAGAACATGGCGTGGTTGTTTGTCAACATGAGCAACCAAGGCGCAAATTTCGCCGCACGCCTAGCGGTGTTGCCAAAGCATGCTGGGTCGTAGGTTTGCTCAAAGAGATCCAAAACGGCTTATTTTTTACCCCACGCAGTGGCAACAAGTCGGCATCCACCATCATGGTGTACCTTCCATTAATAACCTGCCCGAAGATCAGCAACTTTGGCAAAATCCGTGTCAGGCGCCCATAGGTCCAATTGTTTCCGTCCTTGCACCATTCAGGGAGCACATCACCAAGGTCATCCAAATACCGCCCAAGCGTTGAAGAAACGGACTCGGTCTGAAGCTCTCCATATGATAATTTACTATATATATCTCTCTTTCAGGATCCAAAAACCTGCGCAGGTAGTAGTGCTAGTAGTAGCAGCAGCAGCAGCAGCAGCAGCAGCAGCAGTAGTAGTAGTAGTAGTAGTAGTAGTAGTAGTAGCAGCGATATCTTTTCCCTGCGTGGCCAAGGGACAAGTCTGCCTGCACTGATCTATTCTTGCTGTCAAACCAATGGCAAACTCATTCGAGAAAAAGCAAGTTGCGGTTCCTTTTGTACCCCTTCACATAAACACAGGCATCCGTCAACTTCTTCTTGGCCCGGATTGGCGGAAGCCTTTCTGAACTAAACCTTTCTTTCTTTCTTTCGTCCTTGAGTCCGTTCCCGAAAGACAGCCACGCCGCTGGCAACTGCAACCGCTACGCGAACCAAAAAAATGGTTCGCAGGGGCGCGGCCGCGCGTCACGTCGCTTCGAGCGCGCACGCCTCGCGTCATGCCATCACTTGGCATGACATCGCATCAAACGAACCACGTCGTGCTACGTTGTGTTGCCGCCTCAAGAGGCTTTCCAGACCTGATGCAGGAGTAGTGAAGCAGCAAGCTGGCACTCACCCATGTTTGTTCGGTGGGCGCGTAAACCTGGAAGGAAGGGAACGGATGGCGCATGTGGAGTAGTGACCATGGCTTTGCTTCTTGGCTCCGGGGCCGCAAGTCACTTTCCACAAGGCCCCACTTCAGGCCAATGAACAATTAGACACCATGTTGGTTGGCTGGTTTGTAGAGATGCCACCAAAAGGATATCCCCTTTTCAGAGGTGCTGCCATTGTCTTGTTTAAGCCCAGGTTTGTTTTCAAGGGAAGCCGCTGGCTTGGGTGGCAGGTGGTAGTACCTTGTTGCAGTGGTGTCCCACCATGAATTGCAGATTAAGATTGGGGCTCTCATTTTTAACCACCCAGATTCAGGGCTACACACAACCTCCCCCCCCACCTGGCTTTTAGGGATAAGTAGGAGGTTGTTTGGATGTTTAAACAACTTTGTTCTAACCGTCATTGCGAACCCTTTCGCACGCAACATCCATGAGGTCCTGACACCCTCACCACGTGACCTCCACTGAGATCACCAGGTTTGGCTCCGCGAGCTTGCCAAAAAACCTAAGCTCTGGGGAGGACCCCCTAACACCGACCCCACCGCCTAACCAGCACCAGTTCAAAAAACGTGGTCAACATGAATTCCTCTGAGATCGCCAGGTTTGGCTCGCAAAGTTTGCGAGCTTGCAGAAAACAAAAAACCAGCGAGTTTCAACAAACATGTGGTCCAAGCGAGGGGAAAACCAATCAACCCCAGGTGTGGGGCTTCGACTTCAGCGCCATGAAAGAGGCTGCGATGTCGGAGCCGGTGGTGCAGGAGGTGGACGAGGATGGGAGGAATTTTTCGAATGTTGACCCACGAAGGAAGTCCTGGTGTATGAAGATAGATAAAGTAGGGGCTGTCCTGTTGTTCCTGTTTAAGAGAGATCCGGTCGATTTTTTGGTTGATTCATAGTAGGGGTGTCCAGTTTCGAGGGCATCCTTCAAGCCTGGTCGATTTGAGGACGGGGTTGTAGAGAGAAGAATTGAAGCCATTGGGGGGGGGGGGGGCGCGCGCGCGAGTGGATGCATGAGTGGATGCACCAATGGACGGATGGACAGGTGGACGTCCGAGCGAGTGGATGTTTGAGCGGTTTGGTGTCGATATCGGCCTTACGTTTTGACAGTATGTCAACTCGTGCACAACAGCATGGATGCGCTTTTGTGGATTTCATCTTTTTTTGACCCCTGTTGGTCCTTTTTTTGTGCTCTTTTCATATTCTATAGGGGTGGATCCACAATCCTTCAAGGCTGGTCAATCCAGCAGGTGAATGAGTCCCATACGAAGTGAAGGGTAGGCAAGTTTGCACTTGGAGACCCCATAAGTATACCGGCAGAAAGACGGCCCCGTTTTCCTTCGCTTTTTTCACACTTAGCGGGGAGCCAGCTGGAAGACTCATTCCAAGTGGACATCCAGTGGTTTCCCCACGGAGGGTGGCGTGTACAAACGTGGCTCTTTGAGTTCTGCACGTGCTTAGGCCAATTCGTGCTGCATCATGCCCACAAGCTTTTGGGGGAGCACAGCAAATTGAAGCCAACAAATTCGGCGCTAGGGTTCAAAGATCCTTTAAAGGTGGTGGTTCAATGTCTCCTTTTGAACCAATTCAAAGTCGGTTTCCTCTAGGTGGGTGCTCAAGGGGACCCCACACAAGGCTAAAAAGAAACGGCACACTCAGAACTACAGGAGCCCCAGCTTTCCAATCAGAATGCAGATCTGCGTAGGAAAGCTTTTTCAAGGCAACCCCGCTTCGCCCAGAAATCAATGCTCTCCTCCTCCACGTGTATTCTGAACCTCGACCTCCTGCGTTGCACGGTCGGCGTCTCAGACACCGTCCCTGTGGAAAGAGCTTGTGCGCCACGCTCACAGCGGGGACTTTTTGATTCCGGCCTCGTGAAAACAAAAGGGACCGGCGCCTCATCGTTGTCTAAGGCGAAGTGCGCTTTTGAGTCGCGATCAACTCAGACTCCTCTAGAAATAAGGGTGGGTTGCATGATTTGGGTACCCATTTTGAGGCAGAATCAACAAGACAAATGAAGAGAATTAAAGGCCGGCGCTGTGGTGGGGAGTTCATCAGCTCTCTTCATCCTTCGACCTTGTGGTTCCAGTTTGATCTATTAGGAGCCTTTCCCCAGATTCCCATTTGGCAGTGGGTCAAAAATAGGCACCCAAAATGGATCCCTGGTAAATGGAGACAAGGGCCAAAACCAGTGGTCCCCTTGGTGGCTTAATTTTCACCCATACCCATTTGGTGCAAGCAGTATCCAGGCAGCCGACTGCTACAGCCTGGCGGCGAAGTTCAAGCTGAGGTGTCAGTGTGAGGCGCCCGTTCCATGCCCGCGTCTTTCAGAAGTGAGGGGCTCCGGGACTCCACAGTTTGGGTTTGGAGGCCCCGGCTTTTGACGCACACGCACGCACGCACTCACAGACCCTGAGCCATGTAGCAGGCGTGATTCCATTGGAGCTTGGCTGTTGCACCGTTTGCGAGATGCAAGCGCATGGGCTCTGGAGTTATTTGGCTGAAATCCCTGTGCAACGCGGGGAGGGCCGGCATGAAACAACAGCCTAGTCACTCAGGAAGATTCGTTCGGCCAGTCGAAGGCCAGTTGAACCAGCTCTATGTTCCACAAGCGTTTTGGCGAGGAACGTGCTTCGAATCCTGGGCGAGGAACGTGCCTTCAGACAAGGGCCAGCAAAGTTCATGGCCAAAGCGAAGCCATGCCATGGCGTCGCCTGATGGGTCAAGCCTGCCGCTTGCCGAGGAATTCCACGAAGGGGCAGGGCAGGTTTGAGCCAAGCAGTTGTGGCAGAAAAGGGCCACTGATGGATAGGAGTTCGGGACTATGACGTTGCGCTCAGAGGCGTTTGATCCATTCCCAAGTTCATTTTATCCAATGGTCATTGCCTCCTTCAAGGTCTAAACCGCTCGCTGATGTCGGTGCTTCAAAGCAGGCCCTAGACATGGTTGGCTTCCTCTTGGTCTTCTTGCGCAACCATCCACACGCTCCTGAGGCTTCCAATGGAAGACCCAGACCCTTCAGTTTGCACACCTTGCGCTTTGCGGGGGGGCAAAGCCTGGCTGTTCGAGGGGCTTGAATTTGGGCGGGGGAGAAAAAGGACATCAGGCTTACATTAGCTGGCTGGTATAAAGGCAAACCAACATGAAATCAGGGGCTCCGTATTTGGAGCCAGACACTTGGCCATGGCCGTAAGGAATGGAAGCCTCCATGCAGGTGCCCGAGGGGGCGGGGCGTGGCAGTTTCGGAAAAGGGCGCGCCCGATGGACACGTCGGATGTTGCAACCTTTTCTTCACAGGTAGTGAGTGCAGGTTCTTGACATCGGTGGTCGTGACACAAGACGGGGCGCTGTTGCAAGGTGAAGGTGCTGCTGTGAGTGACACAGGGCAGAGGGAGCCACAGGCGAGCGTAGGAAGGAGAGTGCTGTTGGGAGGTTTTGTTGGTGAGCGTAACGCGGGACGCAGGGACTTGACACAGGACGCAGGTTGTTGCAGGGTGGTGCCATTGGCGTGAGATACCGGGCTATTGTTTGTCTGGTGTGTACGCGTGTGGTCGCAGTACACGCTTGTGCTTGCACATGCTTTTCGTGACGAAGGAACCAGTTGCAGTCCATCATCTAGGAACAGGCTTGCGGGCCACTTGCAAGGGACCATATTGGGCAGCTGAGTACGGGCGTGTATATGTGCACAGTATTCACATGGCCCAGCGCTTACACGGGCATTTGAGAATGGTACGAGCATGCAAGTATGTGCCTTCTGCGTATGAGGGCGTGCTCTTGGTTTGTCACAGTGTCTATAGACGAATGTGTGTTCGCAGCGTTTTCGCAACTTACATACATACCTGTGGACAGTGTGTACACCTGTGCGCAAAGTGTGTCTTGCACGTACATGTGCACATTCATGCTTCCAGTGTACACGTGCGTGTGTGCTGAGCTTAATCAACAAAAACACCACGTGCCTGTTTCCCTAGTCTTAGCGAGTCATTCGGCTGCTGCGCTTTTGGGAAGCGAAATGTTGCTTTCGCCTAAAGAAACGCATGCTTCTGATGTGCAACCCCTGGAATCTTGAAGAACTGTCTAAGAAGAGGCTGACGTTCGGTGCTGTTGTTTTTTCGTCAATGGATTGTTTGATTTGTGAATACACGTTGTTTGAGGCCCGCCTGGAGCTTGGAATTGGCCACTCGTAGACTCATAGCTCATACCCACTTGGGCAAAATGTACCAATTCAGCGTTGGTGAAGCAAACACCCTCCTCCCACTTCATTGGCTAGCGGTTGTGAGAGGGCACGTGGAAGGTCAATTTCGTGACACCGGTAGGGAGGCAGTTCTCGCATGATTCAGCGCGGCCGTGCCCCTTGAAAGATTGATTGTAGCGTTGGCAGCCGTTGGATTTTCCATGAAGCCGTGGTTCAAACATCAAGGACATGCGCATCATGTCTTTTTTGCAAACGGGAACGTTGGGACTCGCAGTGTTACGTGTTTAATTGGACAAGATAGGGGCACCTCATGAATTGCAGCACCTCATGAATTGCAAGGGCTGAACTTTCCGTTTTCTTTGGCATCCGTTTGCATGTAAGATTTACTACAAATGGACCATAATTTTCCAGAATACTGACATGGCCGTGGGTCCACCAATGGTACCATTTTGGGGTAGGTGCACCACCCATTTTTTGCATATTTTAGCGGGGATTGGGATGTTCACTGGGGGTACGATTTGGGTTTTGACTCATAGCCGCAGTCGTCTCTTTGACATCCCTGAAGCATGTAAGCTTCACTACACATGGACCAGCATATACCAGAATATCAACACGCCAAAGTCGTTTCGACGGCTGTTCCAACTGTGCCTGTCCTTTGCAGGTGCAGGAACTGCCGCCGAGCGCGCCCCGTGCGCAGGCTTGCAGGTTGCCTGCGGCTGGAGAAGTGATGTAGAAAGGAGCACCCTCGAAACGATGCCGGCGTGGCTCAACAGTTCAGGCCTAGGTTTCCTTATGTAGGTATTAGTGTTGTTTCCATTTGCCAAGGTGCTATTTTTGGTACACATGTTTGCGCCATGTAGTAGATGGTGAGTATGGAAATCTCTTGTTCTCAAGCTCCTGTCGCAGGCGCGGCGGCGCATGCCAGCCTCCTTTGCTGCAGGCCGGCCGGCCTTTTTCGGTGTCAGCTTTCGACGGTTTTGCCGCCTTTGAAAGGACCGCAAATGAAACCGCCCCATTTCTTCACATGCCCCTTGTCCTTTCGATTCTTGGGGTAGCTGAAACACCAATCAGGCTCGCCCTTGAAGCCAGGACCTCCGAGCCTTCACGAGGACGGGCCAGGGTTTAGCTTGGAGAAAGAAAGGCCGCTGCGACCCAATGGATTTTGTTAAACAAGTTGCAAAAGCGCTGCAACACAATGTTTTTTTTGATTCCTTCTCTTGATCAATCGAAAAGCACCGCGTCGCCGGTTTTATCTTTGTTTTGCAGTGGCTCGCATGAGGTTCCAGCAAGATTTACCGACAGCTACTGTAGCCAGGAGGAGGACGTTTGGGGAACTGGGGCTCGCTCACCAAAATCTGGTGTCATCACGAGAGACCACGAAAACCGAATCTGTGGCTCCGTGTTGGGACCGGTTGTTGTCTTTTTCCTGAAGAACCACGGCTGGAGAGGGTCTTGGGGTTCGGCCAGCCTGTTGAAACATGTTTCCTTTAAGTGAGCCACAATCAAATCCCGGGTAGATGAACGCTAACAAGGGACAATCCCAACCATAAATAGTTGCGGTCGCCTTCTTAGTTCTTTACGTGGTTCTGGCTAGTTCATTTTGATACCGGATTTTGATTATGACTCACGTGGTTTCAGGACTTGCCACGCGCGCCGAAGCGGGCGAAACGGGTGGAGCGGGCAGACCCGGTGCCGGTGGTGCCACCAGAGGAGTCGCTTGGGCGAGTCGGACGGATGACGCGCCCTTTAAAGGGAAGCTGATCTGAGCGAACATTTTGTGGACGGACGAAATCAAATCCATTTCGCCCCACCAAGACACCCTGCAACGATGATTCCCCTTGTAAATACGAAAAAGCAATGGTTTCAGCCATGGCTTCAAAATGGTGCAGGATTTCGTTCGTCCACAGTAGGGGGAAACCACTCAGTTCGCGTCTTAGGACACATGCGGACAAGTTTGTGAATCTAGACTTCCGAACTTGAGGTGGCCGGCGCTGGAATGGAATGCGATCAGTTCCCAGGCCGTTTAACGCCTTGGGGTTCGGGATCAATCACTGTAGGAACCGCTGATTCATGCGGGGCGATGTGTCCGTACGTGAGCTGGCCAGGATCAAGGAATCGAAGCAAACACCATGGAGCACCGGTGAGTGAAGCCATTTCCATGTCCAGTGACCTCGCCAAAGTACTCTCCCCCAGACAAATGTGGAAGCTCCCAGCACCCGTTTGAAAGACTTAGTTCCATTTACTGAGAGAGTGTAGTGCATGCCTCCAGGTAAGGCTTGACTGAAATGCACAGCCGAAAACTCTTTCGAAGTCAACTCCAGATTTCCTCTCACTTCGATGCCATGTAGCTTAGGCCGGGCTGGGTGCCGGATGGGTGCCGGGCAATATTTCTGCGCAAAACCCACGGGGGGTTCCCTAACGTTTCAAGTTGTCCCCTTCCACACGAGCAGCGCGTTCAAAACCACCTGTTGGCCATGTTCTATTTGACGCCAAACATTTTTTCAACTTGCTGTTCTTGCAGGCGTGAGAGATGTGTGGCCAGTGGATGCAGGCATCGCCGGCTTTCATGTTCCTTTTGCAGTTGAAAGCCCATGAGCTGGCATGATGGCAGATCACGTTTGGCGATGAGGTCTCGCTGTTACCCCCACCCTCGCGATGAGGTCTCGCGATTCCCTGGACCCAGCTGTAGAGTTGTCCATGGATGCCTTTGAAGCAACAGCAGGCGCAAGCAAAATCCCCTCCTTGTCACTGTGGATGGACGTAACACCAAAGAAACCCATGGAATGATGATTCCCCTGTAATACAGAAAGCAATGGTTTCAACCATGGTTTCAAAGTGGTGCGAGCGGATTTCGCAACCATCCGCGGTAGTACTCGCTATACGTGGAGCCCGCAAAGGAAACTTCAGGCACGTGAACGCGCGCGCCTGGGTTTCTGAGTCCGTTGCAGGTATGCTCAAGAGCTTGGCGCGCAGCTCAGAACCTCCTGGTTCTAGTGCCCTGTATCTTATCTTTGGGGATGTAAAAGTCATAAATCCTATCCGCATATTACCAAACAGGGGTTTTTATGAATCTGGGGGTCACCAGTAGTCTATGTTTTTCCAGTAGCGCCCCTTATCCCTTTTTGGGTTGGGAGGGTTCCACTAAGATAGACTACAGACAAAAAGCGGGGTACCCTAAACCCTAAGCTCTCTACTGGCGGACCTAGTGGTCTACAGATGTCAGCGGCTCCGGGTGAGGCGTGTCTCGTGGCGTCCGTCCGCTCCGCGGAGCTGCGAGGCAGCCCGGCGCCGCAGCGCCGGCGGTGGTGGCGTTGGGTTTGTCGGGGCTGGAGAAACGTACCGAAAAGCGAAAAAATGCCCCCCAAAGATCCAAGCGCGCTCAAATCCTTGCCCCTTTTGCTGGTGGTTTGGCGTGGCTTGGAGCTCATTTGGCTTCAACTTCAAAAAGGAAGTGGCGTTCAAGCATCCCCAAACCACCAATCCAAAGGATTTGGTGGTTTGGATTTGTTTGGGATTTGAACGGGTCCGAGGGTAAGATGGGAAACCCGCCCTTTTGGGGGGAGCTAAGTTGGTTTTCGGCTTCCCTCCAGTTGGCCTTTTTAGGGCGTAACAGGCGTCCCAGCTGACAAGCTAACATGGAAGCCCTAAAGCGGAAGTGGGTGGTTTGGATGGTGGTTAAGGGGTGCCCGTTGTGTTTGCGGGTCTTGCTTGGAACGCACCCCCTCCTGGCCTGTTTTCAAACAGCCGAAACTTGTAAAGGTATCGGGTCTCCGCCTAGGTAACAGCTTGCTGTAAACACAGTCAACTGCTGGGCCAGCTTGATCATCTGACAGAAAGGGGTTTAGGGCTTTGGGCCGGAGCCTCTCTTTATTCGTGTGATTCATGCTGATTCCGCAGCTGCGAACCAGTAACTAGTTAAGTGCGAGTTTGCAATTGCGATTCAGCAGCTATTTGTAGGCTGTGACTCAGTATGTGCGTGGGCCGATTCAGCAAGTGTTTGCGGGCAAATGAGCAACTATGATTCGACAACTCGTTTTAACGATTCAGCACGTGCGATTCAACATTTTCCCCCGCGATTCAAGAGGACCTGCCCAGCGCCGTCCCTGCCAAATAGCAAGCGCACCCGCTCAAAAGCACCAGTGCAGCAAGCCATCCACGCCTGCCCAATGATGAGCATACCTGCTCAAGCACTGTGCCCACACCCTTTGTCAGTCTAGCGACCAAAGACCCATCGAACCAGAAGGCAGCTTGAATGCCAGCAGCTCCCAGATCACTTTGCCTCTGGTGGCAGCGGGCGTTTTTTTTGGGCATGGCTTGACTTGGCGGAAGCGGCGACAACATTGCTGGCAGAAGATCATCAGATTGCTCGCCCCGGTGAGTTGTCGCCATAGAGGTGGTGGGTGGGGCTGAAGCGTCCTGACGGAGATTCTTGATTTGAGCGCGTTCTTTTCGTCTGCCCCTGGCCAAGGACGGCTCGCGCCGTTGCAACTCCTACTTGGCAGCACGTCCTTGCCGGTGGTTATCACGTCAGCCGGATTGGCTTGATCAATTTGTGTTTTGAGGTGCTTAGTGGAAATGGTGTTTTCCCCAAACAGCTCACCGTGAGGGGTTCTAAATTCATTTAAAGTGACTCGCCCATTGCCAAGCCACAGCCTGGATGGCTGGCACGGCTCTCTGGGTGGACGCACAAGCGGGCGTCCCATGCCTGGCCCAGCAGTCCTGGTGGACGGGTTTATTTTTCACGGCTTTGTGAGTGGACGGATTCATTAGTCTCCCTTCCCCCTGGGTCCGGGGGCGGTTTCGAATTGGGAATGGCGCGTGGAGGGGGCGGCGCTAAGGACCGGATTCTTTTTTTGTTTGTTTTTTGTGCGTTCCTTTTTTCCGTTTCGGTCCGATGAGCACCTGGTTCATGATTCCCTTTTCGCCCTCGGAGCGACAGTGCCTTTTTTTGTTGTCTTTTTTTTCTCTTGTTTTTTTTGCGGCACCGTGCCGGCCCACGCGGCAGAAGCCGGGAGGACGGCTTTGTGGTGACAAGTGTGTTCAGCAGACCCAAAGCAAGCAGCAGGTGCTTTTGCTGCCATCCTGGACGACGACTCCGTGGTGGGTGGTTCGGGGCTCACGCCCGGTGGAGCGGGCTCATGCCCGGGTGGTTCGGGCTCATGCCCGGGTGGTTCGGGCTCACACTCGGGTGGGAGATCGTGTCCTTGGCGGTGACAGCAGCCAGGTGGGAGAGCAGTTGGCGCCAGCAGATCCAATCAACTCAAAGTGCTTATGCTGCCATCCTGAGGACGGCTCTGTGGTGACAAGTGTGTTCAGCAGATCAAAGCAAGCGCAGGCGCTGCGGCTCCGTGGTGGGCGGCTCGGGCTCACGGAGCGGGCTCACGCCCGGGTGGTTCGGGCTCACGCCCGGATGGTTCGGGCTCATGCGCGGGTGGAGCGGGCTCACATCTGACTTAGGGAGATTGTGTTTTTGGCGTGACAGCAGCCAGGTGGGAGAGCAGTTGGTGCGCGTCCAGTAGATCCAATCAACTCAGAGTGCTTTTGCTGCCGTCCTGGAGGACGGCTTTGTGGTGACAGGTGTGTTCAGCAGAGGTGAGCAAGTCCCGGGCCTGATCCCGAGCGGGCCACCGCTGGGGGGAGGCTGGCCGGTTTGTGGCTCTGGTACACCAGAAGCTGTTTCTCTCTCTCTCTACACATCTCCCTGTATATTTTGGGACCGGTTGGCTCCCAGCCTGAATGGTACGGTTCTCTGGGTGGACGGATTTAAGTGTTTCCCACTGTCTCTCAGCTTGGACGGGTTCAATTGTCTTGTTGTCTCCAGCCTGGATGCCTCGCACGGTTCTGTGGGTGGACGGATTCATTTGTCGGCATGAGGGGTCTTTGGTGATCTTGGTTTCCATCAGTTGGCGCGCGGGTTGCTGCGATGGGCTTTGTGTGGCTTTCAAGGGTGTAATGTTGCAGTTCTACTTAGTACTTGAGGCCAGCCCGCACGTTTACCTTCATCTTACGTGGCCCTAGCTTGTCAAATCCACACAGATGGTCGCCGTGACTCCAAAATTTCGGCGAAGCCGCGCTAGCCGCGCGCTAGCAAGGCGCTAGAACAGTGGTGCTGGCAGCGACGGAGGCAAGACTGACAAGTTGGATGATGACATGGATGACGACAAGACCGAGGGCAAAAAGAACAGCAAGCGGAAGGCTAAGCCCAATGCCAAGCCTGAGGGAGACGCGGAGCGGAGCTGAGCCGAAGGCAGTCTGAAGGCTAAATCGTGCAAATTGTTGCCATTAAGTCTTTGTTATGTTAAGTTGACATTGGCATTGCTATAATTGCTGGCGTTCCCCCAGTGTGAGCTGAAGCAGCCTGGTTCGTTTGACGGGCTGCGTGCAGTAGGCAAAGAAGCCGAAGAAGGCAAGCGGCGACAACCAGGAGCGAGATGGGGGGTCGTCCTCACCCTTGCCGTGGTGATCTGGTCTGACTGCAGCATGTGGATGAGTGCCGGGGCCTTCGGAGC